AAGCTGCTCACTAACAGCAGGGGGCGCTGGTGGAATCTGCTCACTAACAGCAGGGGGCGCTGGTGGAATCTGCTCACTAACAGCAGGGGGACTGCTCACTAACAGCAGGGGGCGCTGGTGGAATCTGCTCACTAACAGCAGGGGGCGCTGGTGGAATCTGCTCACTAACAGCAGGGGGGTGGCGCCTGCTAAGTGAAGGTTAGATCTGCGAGTATCCAGAGTGAAGAGTGGATTGACATGTATGATAATCACTTAGCGAAGTATAAATAGAAGTGCATGTATCACCGAGAGACGGGTAGGTGTACATTGCACGGGGGGGTTTAAAGCAGGCGAATGAACACTACACCGGGCAATAAACAGATATCATAGGTGGCCATGTAAGTTAGGGGTACATGTAAGTCTGTCCCTGACTTAGTGATACACGGAGTAAGAAGCAAGGACAGACGTTGCTACATCACTCCACGATACGTTGTAGCGTGTGCACGTTTTCACCACGTGCGCCCCTCTGCCTCTCTCTCTCTCTCTGTGAAGAAAAACCTCCAAAGAATTTTCGGACACGGATTTTTTGTCCGACGTTTCATGTGGGCGCACCGCTGCCGAGGGGAAAACGCTTGGGTTATTTATCAGCGTTGTTTATTGGCAGGCAGCGCGTGGCTGTTTCTCCCCTGCCACTTAGCTGGATGGCTTCACAGCTCGTGCTGGCCTCAGCAGATGTCATATAACCATTAGAGGACGATGATATGAGATATATAGAGAGTGCTACCCCTCAGCACGTTTGTAAACACAACCCTCCCCCCACCCCCACCACCACCACCCCCCACGGGCACGGCATGGATAGCGGAAAAACGGATATATCGTGCGCCGCTATAAAACAAGCGAACGTTGCTAAATTAAAAATGAGGGCGAGGCGCGAAACGTAACGAAACGGGGAAAGTGGCGATCTTACGCGGCGCTAGAAACCAAGCGAACATCCCCACGTCAGAATATCAGTTTGCGGCGTGCACAGTGAAATTAGAAAAAAATATCACATAGAGCTGGAAAACAAGCGAACGTTGCTAGGCTAGAAAATCTACACCATCGATTGCGACGCACAAAATCACCGAACATTTCGGGAGCGAGCGGCCAAGGCACGCGAGACTCACCCCTCCTTGTTACCACACCCGAAAACAAGTGGACGTCTCTACGCGACAGCATTACCTGTAGGTCGAGCTTTCGCTGCAAGTCCGCCGCCGCCGCCTCCGCCGGCGGGGGCGACCGCTCGCTGAAGTCGTCATCATCGTCGTACGGGTCGGGCGTCAGTCTACCGTCGTCGTCCGTCTCGTCGTCTCGCTCCTCGTCGATCGTGGCTTTGGGCGGCGCCACCTGGTGGATGTACTTTCCGGCTCCGGGCGCGTCCTTGCGCTTGATGCTTTGCGTGAGGTACTTGACGGCGTTGAGCGCGGCGTCCGGGTGTCGCGTCTGCTCGTCCCGCGTCAGCGCGCTGTCCATCAGGGCGCGCCACTGGGTGGGCAGGCCGTGGAAGTCGCCGGTCGTGGCGTCGAAGCCGACATGAAGCTGGTGCGTGACGCCGAACGGAGCGCCGATGTTGCCGATGGGCGTGGCATCAAGGTCACGCGAACCGTCGCTGCGCCGGTTCTTCTTCTTAAAGAGCGACTTTGGGTTGCGGAACTGATTCTTCCACGACATCTTCGTCGTCGGTGGTGTGTGTGAGCGAGGGAGCGAGGGCAGTTCGTGTTGCTTAGTGATGTCGTAACGTCTCCTGAAACAATGATTTTGCTATTGGAAAGGTGTTCAGGGCAGGTACGTGTCCCTGCTATGGGAAAGGTTTGCAGGGTAGATGTGCCCTGCTGTGGGAAAGGTGTGCAGGGCAAATATTCTCTCGTATTTACGGGAAAGATCCTTGCAACGAAAGACAAAGACGTCCACCTCTCGTACGTGTTAAAAAGTCCCTATAAGAACTGTAGAGCTGTCCAGCCACCGAGTGTGTTACAAAGTCTCTGCAGTACTACTACTCGGAAGTACAGAGAACCTACACGCAGTGCAACGACAGGGAAAGATATCCAGCTATCGTGTGCGCTACAGAGTCTCTGCAATACACAGAACCTACATGCACTGCAATACAGATAACCTACATGTACTGCAATACAGATAACCTACATGTACTGCAAGGCCAGGGGAAGATCTGCGGCTATCGTGTGGGTTAGGGAGCTCCTGCAAGGACCAAAGCTGTTGATAGCATCCTCGTTAGAAATCCTAGCATCCTCAACCTTTGGACAATAGTCAAAATTCTAAAGTTTCTCGCGGTTTCTTACCTTGGTTCGTTGGTTGCTGTATATCTACACAACTATGCTGTATTCCTTTGCCACAATGATGTATTCCTATACCACAATGATGTATTCCTATGCCACAATAATGTATTCCTTTGCCACAATGCTGTATTCCTTTGCCACAATAATGTATTCCTTTGCAGCAATAATGTATTCCTATGCCACTATGTTATATTACTGTACCACTATGCTCTATTTCTTTGCCACGATGCTGTATTCCTATGCCACTATGCTATAGTCCTTTGCCACGATGCTGTATTCCTATGCCACGATGCTGTATTCCTATGCCACAATGCTGCATTCCTGTACCACAATGCTGTATGCCTGTACCACTGTGCTGTATGCATGTACCACTGTGCTGTATGCCTGTGCCAGTAGGCTGTCTTCTGTCGTTACACAGGTCGTCGTGCTGTATACGTTGCCAGCAGGACGTCGATATGATAGACTCACTCATCGGTCGTTAGTCGCTAGTTCTTACGCGCGCGCGCGTGTGTGGGTGTGTGCGTGTGTGCGTGTGTGTGTGTGTATACGGTAGACACCACTATCCTTGCGGTGCGGTCATGGCCGCTAGCGTGTACGTGCGTGCACAAACACCGTCTCTATCTCTCACGCATATATGGGCACACGCAGCATGTGTGTGTGTGTACTGTAGCGGTAAATATGCAGCACCATCAACCACCCTGTAGCCAGTAGTCGGTAGATACTTTCCGGCACGTATATATATATATATATATGCCGCGGCTGGGTCGGTCGACTCCCACCGCCACACCTGAATGCTCTCACACACGCGCGCCCCCTTACTGCTGTCTGCCAGCGCTGCCCAGCGCGCGCGCTCTCTTTCTCTGTCGGTCTCTCTTTCTCCCTCGCGCTCTCTCGCGCTCTCTCGCTCTCTCTCTCTCTCTCTCTGTGTAGGTCCGCTGTCTGCTTGCCTGCTTGCTGCTCTGGATGGAAGAAGACTCCGCACGCGCCCACGTATCCACGCGTTCACACGACCTGAATAAAAAACGTCGGGATATAGATAGACGTGAGACGACGTGTGTACACTCACTTCATACGTTCGCACTATATGTGTATCGAGCCTCGCTCTAACTGAGCGCGTGTACGCGTTGGCTGCACACCAACCTTCCTGCAACACTCGCTCTTTCCTGTGTGTGTGTAAGCGGATCGGGAGGGTCTCGGTGTTTACCACGTATCGGCTGCTCGCACGTGCGCGCGCTCGGGAGGAGGGGGAGGCTGAGAAGGAGGAGGAGGAGTGGGAGGGGCGCGGCTAGCGACTTCCGGTAACCGTTCGTCCGCGTCGCTGATTGGCCGCACGTGTTCAACATGGCGGCGTGCGGCGATGCGCTATTGGCTGGGAGTCGGTCGCTGTCGTTTGTGTGTACGCCTGCTGCTAACGTAGGCGATTACTGCGGGCGGCGGCGGCGGCGGCGGCGGGTACAAAGGTTGTATCAGCGCGCACCGATGACGCCGAGTGACTGACCGAGCACGATGACTGCAGTACAGCCCGCCCGGACTGTAGCCCTGTACCTTGTAGACCTACCGTGGAGGGGGACGGGGGGGGTGCTCCATTCCCAGTATCCCAGGTAATGGGAAAACATAAATGAATAAAGGGTATAATGGAAAGCCACTTCCCAAGTTCCCTGCTAATTAAAGTGCAATTGTAGCCTTTTCCGCATCCCAGTTGGCATCTATTCCCGGGTCGCGAACAATTTATACGGAATATTTCCCGGATCCCGGATAATTTAAATGGTCCAATCCCTCGTCCCGAAAATAACCGTTCTCCCATCTGATGCTAGCGACCACGGAGAGTGCGAGTTTCATGGAAGAAGTGTGGAAGGGGGAGGAGGAGGGGGTAATGTAGAGTATCTATATACGTGCGCATATATATAGGAAAGCAGGAAGTGACGTGTGCTGCTTATTATGTAACCGTCCCTGCGTAGAATGAACATACGAACACACGCTCACTACATACACGTCCTGTGTCGTGGTGTCTATGCGCAGTGCGACACTAGCTGTACATCCTCTGCTGGCACGCTTGACACAGGATATGTAAGTGAGGAGCAGTACTTAGCGAGAATGTCAGGGTGGGGGGTGGGGGTGTGATGATGCATGACTACGTGAGAGGCGATCCCATGCCAGCCGCCGTACGTACGCTACGGGCTAGTTCGCTCGTTCATGCGTGCAGCGTGTTGTACGTATAGGAGGAGCACTTGCATAGTTATAGTGTTTGCAGTTCTTCTAGGGTTTCCAACTGTGCAGCATATCAGTTATGGGTCGTTCACCTGACTGCTGCTCCTCCTCCTCCTCCTCCTCCTCCTCCTCC